TAAGCAGGCACGTCAGGAGCAAAGGGGGTATGTTGGGAAGTAAGCAAACAAAGAAGGAAGTGAGAAAGCAAGCAACAGACCAGGTTCTGCAGGATTCGTAAGACTAAGCTATAGGGGAGTCGAAGGTGTCGGAATTGTGCAGGACTCATGGTCAGTTTCGGGCTTTGGGTTAAGGAACTCATTGTTGTAGGTAATGCGGTCGTTTGGAAGCCCCGCCCACATCCCCGTCGAGCTGCCCACGTGGTTGCGGAAGGTGCGCCCCCCCCAGTTTAGAATTTAGGTGTTTGCCCTTGTGTTATGTTGTGTTGTGTTAATTGATAGCTGCATGCCAGATCAGACATGGCGGTCTTCGCTACCAGTCTTTCAGTAGTTCCGATCCGTGCCTTTGCAGCCCTGTCCAATTCCGTCTGAATCCTCGTAGCGCCGACTGAAGGGCATTTCTTGGATGATGCCTGGCATACGGAATGGCGCGACTGCGCGAATTTCGCAGTCTTTGACAGCTCCGATCCATGCCTGTGCAGCCTGGGTCTCATTCCGCATGTTCCTCATCGCACCATCGAAGAGCAGTAGCCACGGCATCTACACTGCTTCGTCAGATGACCTCGGGCTGCCCGGTGTGGACTCCCGCGTACACCATTGAACTTCACCGTGGTCCTAGCCCCAGGTTCTCTTTTTACAGTCAGACTCAAGCGCCATGGACAACTGCTTGTGTAGGGCATGGGTTCGCCAGCTGCATTGCAGCCCCGATCCATCCGATGGATTGGAGCTGCGATGGGGCTGGCGAAGGCATGGCTTGCCCTACTCGACTCGTTGCACATCATTGGGTTCCTGTCTTGTCTAAGTCGGACATCGTATGCAGCACATCTCCCCCCAGTCAGCACATAATAGGCAAAAAGTTAAAAAGATGCGTTTTTTATTCCTCTGCCCACTCAACATTCAATTTTTCCCAGTTTTCACTGTGCGTGTGCATCTTCGGGCCGGGATGCGACAAGAGGGCTTTGCTTGCAAGCCAGTACACTGGGCGGCTGGCCTGCTGCTCTGTGCTTAGACACATCAGGAACCCGTGATGCCATCGCACTTTACGTGGATCTTATCGTCGTTCGTCCATGGATGCTCTGGCCGACGGCTGCTTTGGCAACATGGACGTTGCATCGGCTTGGATGCTGGCCACTGGATGCACTTGTTTGGTCATCATGACGGTGGCTGCTGTAGTACTCGTCGTCGGCGGCGGTTGAGGGGCAGCAGCACAATTCTCTCCAGCAGCAGATTGCAGTAATGTCATTGGCGATGCGAAACCTCCTTGGTGTATGTCACATCTTTCCTGCAAGCCGTGGACTCACTGATGGTTCAGGGCGAACATCCAAGCATCCCTGAAAACTGAGCCTGCCCACCCTAAATCTGATCGCTTTAAGCTTCCATGGACAGGCTTCCACGACCCAGCATCCCCGCCCAGGAAGAATCGCGATCCTGCAGCCGAGGATCCGAACACACTGTCGAACTGGCTGGAAGGCCTGGAAGGCACTGTAGAGAGTTTTACAGGCCCTGGGTTTCTGCAGAACTCGTCCGGAAAAGCACATGTTTCCCGCTGTGACTGACTGCCCGCGGCACCAATAATCCCGACATCAGCTGCGACAGCATCATACATCTGATTTCTGTCAGTGCCCTGGGCATGGAGAATGAGTTCTAAAGCCTCTCAGCGCGACAGAAAACAGTGGCGCTGTACAGCTAATCTCCATGGTTGAAAACGTGCAAACCCTACCAGCCCGATCTCATGCGCCAGCCAAGTGCATAACCTTGTCAGTCAAGAACACCGTCGGACTCAAAAACTTCAAGAACCATGCAGGCCTCGCAGACCGTATATGATTTTGGAAACCTGCAATCAATCCCAAATCATTACAAAACACGATCTCAAACATTTACATCTGAAGACCTAGGCATTCACCAGAAACTACAGACTCTGCCCGCCACCGGTTTAAGGAAACGTAGCTCGAAGCCTGAAACTGTCAGGTCAGAGCCTGACTTCCCAAACCACCGCCACCACGGCCACAACCAAGCGAACACGCTTTTCAGCTCCTCGGAAAGGAGACAGACTTTAAGGGCAAAGGTTCCTTGTTGGAGATTGCAAAGTTCAGGATTCACGGAAGGTTCCGCCATGCATTGAATTGAAGAGATCGCCAACAAATGTTGCACAATCCCTTCAAACCTTGTTTGATACCTTTGGGCTGGTTTGGCCTTTTTCGGAGGGCGTGCATTGCGTCTGAAGGATTTGATGGATAAGGGGGCTCTGCGCAGAATCGCCACGCAAATTGTGGTTCCAGGTGCAGGTGGGTTGCCTTCGTGACATAAAGTGCTTGCTCAGCCGACAAAATGACTACAACAAACATTTGGCATGGAACTGTACCTTCGCGCTAGCCGGCCCTGGGCTGGCTGACCCACAGGCACTATCGCCGTAGTCTCGCGTGCAGTCCACTGATGCTCAGACATCCTTCAGGTTTTTGGCATTTGTCCAGCTGCTGTACATGTTACATGTTCAGGTGCTGTTGAAGCTGGGAGGCTGAGGGGCTTTACTTTACGCTATGTGAATGTGCCCGAAGAACGACTATCCGATCCGGTCCAGCACAATGTGCAATGACTGAAACTTGAACTAAGCAGGATCCACCCATGTTTCGCGCAAACAGCTGCTGTTGCACATGTGCCATGAGACAGAAAATGCTCCGAACGTTAAGCAACAACCATGTCTCTGCATTAAGAAAAGATTCATGATGAGCATGAGTTGCCAGTCAAAACTCCTCAAACTCGGCCGGAACATCCAGACTCCAACATTCTAAGTAGCCGGCCCTGGGTTTAGGGCTTTGTTGTCGCCACCTTGTCCGCACGTACGTTGCCCGCTTCGGAGCGGTATCTGGTAGGGTTGTTTTTGGCATTTGGGGTTTAGGGAATTGGACTTCGGAGTTCAGTGTTTACAAGTCCTTCAAGCCTGTGGGCCAGTCTGCTTAAGTCCTTTCCTCTCCCACTCTCTCTCTCTCTCTCTGTGTCTCTATCTATCTCTATCTCTCTCTCTCTCTCTCTCTCTCTCTCTCTCCCTCTCTGTCGACTACCACGTCCTGGAAGAAGCTCTAGAACCCTGAACTCATGTCAGTCTACACCCTCAAACCTGCAAACCGTATGCTTGACATTCAGGCTGGAAGCAAACTCCTGGTTGCTGCCAAACCATCATCTCACCACCCCCGAGTGTTTCAGATCCCGCAATTGAAACCCGAACCCTTGATTTGCTTCGAACCGTGGCTTGCAGAATACAGTATAATGCAATAATCCGATACAGCATGTTTTGTTGTGTTGTTATAACATGTCAAATCTGACAAAGCACGCAAACGTTACGAGTTGAAACGGGCTTCTGCCGAGGATCTGAGCATGACCTCCCTCGCGACGTCGATCTGTAGCGAGCCTCCGACCACCTTCCAGGCCTCCGTCCTCTATCTTAATTCTTATTCCAGTTCTAATACTAGTACGTGTCTACTGCTACTACCGCCACCACCACCACCACCACAAAGTTTAAGCCCGGGAACCAAGTACCCAACAATGCAGACCCTCCAATCCGGAAGTGTCAGTGCAGAGCCGACGGAGAGATCATGGGTAGCTCATGCTTGAGAAATTTTAGCAGTTCCTACTTCCTTAACCTGTCCAGATAGCCGCGAGCCCAAATCCCGAAGCCCTTGAGGGTTTTGGATTTTCCAAAAGGTCGATTTCCGACCACACAAGAGGGCTTTTGCTCTGAACCAGTGCCTTGGAAGTTTTCAAGAGCTGAAGATTCCGGTTCAGGGTTCAGCGGTTGGAGGCTTGTGGCGGCCTTGATACAAAATTGACGAGGTGTCTATGAAGCGAATGATTGGGTTGGTTGTGTGGCGTCGGATAGGATTTTTGGGGGTTTTGGTGTTATAAGATTGCCATATCTGAGATTGGCTGAGGTTTGCGTTTTGGGTGCCAGGTGGTCTTACGAAACACCACGACCAGAATGGCTTCGTGCCATTGGCACTTCGTCTTCTATGTTGTGGGCAAGACCCGCAGATGCCTTGCAAGATGCATGCTGGCTCTTGGCGCAAAGACCGCTTAGAAGGAAACGCGAGCATTGCGACCGCGCGCGGGGCGGAAAACTAAAGTCGACCGCGCCACTCGCGCCACTCACGCCGTAGACGAAAGGAATGAATGGAGCAAGTAACGTACAGGGCGAGTGGAACGACTGGAACAGCGGAACGAGCGCAACGGTCGGAACGAGTGGAACGCGTGGAACAGACGGATCGCGCCCCCCCCACGCCGACACATTCAACGCGAGCGCCTCAGCGCATCTCTCCGCGTGCCCGTGCCACAGTCGCCTGCAGCTGTTCTTGCGACCCGGATTGGGAACCAGGTCGCCTTTGTTTTGGCTTCCAGGAAGCTCAAAGGCCGATGCTGGAAGATACTTGTAGAGTAGGGTTGGCGGCTTCGCCATTCGGCCATGCCGCGATGCAATCCTCGGCCCTCTGAGGAACGATTGGAAGCCGGTGAACCAACATGAAGCAGGCCCGCAGAAATTGGCAGAGCATTTCGGGTTTGGGGCTTCGGGTGGCAAAAAACTACCACTTCGTGCCAAAGTTGCCAAAGTACAAGATCTGAGCGTCTGGGGTTTAGGATTGTGATCGGGGGTACATTTGCGGGGTCTTCAGCATGAGGCTCCAATCCGGAGTTCACGGCCGCAAAAACGGCATCGACACAGCAACCAACCAAGAGCTGGTTATTACGTTGACTTTCGATGTCGCCAACAGAACAGGGCATGCGGCAACAGCGACGACGACGACGACAGTGCCAACGACACTTACAGCAGCTACTCCGACAAAAGCGACAGCCACGGCGAGCCACCACGCGCAGCAGGCGATCCTGTGATCGATCCTCCAGGGTACAATTCGAGTTAAACACGGCATTAATTAGCATGTCATAGTGTAAGCTACTTGCAGGAGCACTCCGGGATGGACTTCCCAACATGGGCCTTCCCGATTGTGAGCGCCTGCAGACCACTTTCGAGGATATGTTGCTGACTGCTCCATAGGTTGAAGCCGAAGATGGCCCCCTAAGGTTTGAGACATGGGGATAGTAGTGGATGGGGAAGCAGGGATTCTTCTGGTTAAGGGTGTCGGGGATGTGGATGGTCATAGTCTCGTAGTGCCTGTGGTTTTGGGATGTATTGGAGTTAAGGTCCTTGGGCTTGCAGCACAGAAAACAGCAGATCCTTCACACCCAATTCTGGGGTGCCTGCTCACTGGAAGCGCTTTGCAAAGACAGCATGCCATATCTAGAAAGCACGAAGGTTCTTGTCGGGATAGACAGGCAAGGATCCCCTGTTGAGCTAAACTCGGCCTGCACACAACAATAAGCTACCCCTCCATAGTCGTAGATTCCCGTCCCGTGTTTATTGCTTTAAGTTTTGGGGAATAAGACACCGCTACTACAATCCACGCCCCGAAAGAGGAGAGACGACAGGCAAGATAGAGGAGACGCAGAAAGGAGACATAGCTAGTCAGCCAGACTTAAAGCTTCTATATACAAACCTAGAGCCTCCAGCCTTCAGGGTTTCAGCCCCACGCTCCAAACTCTGGTTTTGTATGGTTGCCAGATCTATAGTCTCTATAGGATATACTAACATAAACCTTAAAACAAAACAATCCCATGAAGTACGGGGTAGTATATGATCGCCTCGAAACCCACAATAGTGCGGAGGAGAAGTACCCCCGAATAGTGCAGCGCCTGCCGGGCCTGCCGGGAGCCTCCAGAAAGCATCAACAGACAAAGGGGTAGAAGATGGTAGAAGTAATCTTTTCAAACCAGTGTACGGGCACATCGCTAGTGTAATCGCGCCACTGTTATTGGGTTTGGCTAATTTCCGCAACTTATACCCTGCAGTCATGCAAGGACCAGTTTGGCTCTGCTGCAGCGACCCGCAGTCTGCACAAGAAGATGTATGAGAAGGTGCTTTGACGTGGTCACTCTACAGATGGTCCAGGAGTTTACTAGAGGTTTGAGACGCTGGTACAGATTTCTGAGGCAATCCGAGGATTAGCGGTTCTTTGCAGGGTGTTGCGTTGACACGGCTTACACTGCGGGTTTTTATTCAAATGCCGACGGCTAAGTGATAGTGTAGAGCTTCGTGTCTTCAGGCTAGATCCAGGATTGATGACTTGCAGAGCAGGCTACTGCACATCCAACTCACGGCGCGTGTTATTGCCCCTGACGCGAGCGCCCTGAGCATTTGGCGAAGCAATTCTTCTATTCCGTGTGAGCCTGGTCGGTCGTGGGCGTTAGAGGCTTGCGCATCATATTGAGGAGTGACTATGACTCTATGCAACCCTTCACCCTATATAGACCAACAACATGTCCTGACCTTCCAGAATGACGACGGTGGTGACAGACTAATGAGGAGGAGGAGGAGGGTGGTGGTAATGTTACTGATGATGCTGCTGCTACTGGTGCTGGTGGTGGTCGTGGCGGTGATGGTGATGATGAGACGGCTCATGGTGGCCACGATGACGACAGTGACTGTGGCTACTAGAGCATCTAGAGCAGAAACTGTAACGTTGCGGCTTCCCGCAGCCATGCCCGCAAAGTTGTGAATGAGTCTCCTCCACATTCACGAGTTATGTCCGGCTTTCAAGTAGACGTAGTAAGAAGTGTCTTTGGACGAGTCGAATCTTCAGAGAGTGAGTTTGCAAGTTGCGTGGCTTCGGGAAAGCGCCACGTACATATTTGGAAGGCACCCATCACACTAAGACTCACTAACACACTAAGAACAAAAGGGCGAGAGTCAAGAACCGGACTGCGAGTTTTGAGACCGGTTGCAGCTTTGAGTCGCCGACTCGCGCCAGGTTCTCAACGGCGATCAACACGAGTTTATCTCGAGGCTTGCGGCTTTGCAAGTTCGCATCGAAACACTATCCCACCAAAGCCAGTACAACGGCCGGTGAAGAGTTTCGGTTTCCGACGAGCGGATCCCACAAGACCCCAAATTGTACTTCAAGTACGTTCGAACGAGTCGCGCAACTCCTGAGCCTCAGCTTCTGCGCGAACTCAAGCGAGCAAGCTTCATTTCGAACCAGTGGCGGGAACAGAGTACCTGAAAAAGGGTCTAGGTGGGGAGTGAGGCTCTGCACTGGGAATTTCGAGGCTTGTTGTTGAAGACCTCTATTTCGGGTGGTTAAAACGTCGAGCTCCAGACAATTGCTTGTTACCTGCACAAGCCTCTTCACAGTAAGTGCCATGAACAAGCCTGGTTGGATAGCAGTTCTAGTTCTAGTAGGGTTCGTTGCCAGCACACCGCCGGCAGCAACAACGACAACAAGACCAACTCCATCCAACACCGGCTGGCACGGCAACCGCAACCGCAACCGCAACGGCAACAACAGCAACAGCAACAGCATCAGCAACAGCCGCAGCATCAACGGTAATAGCAACAGCAACAGCAACAGCAACAGCAGCAACAGCAACGGCAGCTGCAACCACAAAGGCAACCTCATCGACAACAACACCAACAGCAACATTCCTTCATCCATTGCGATGCTCGCACTGGTCGTCTCAAGCTTTGGCGGGCATCAGGCCGTTCCAAATGTTTTTCTCATTCCAAGACACGCAAACCAACCTAGGGATCGAGGCAACGCGGAACAGAACTAGAGACCGCCAGCCTTGCCCCTCAGCTTACTACCAAAACCTGAACAAGACTCTCACCCAGACGGCAGTCCGAGGAGCTGCAAAATCGGAGGATTCGGCTCGTGTGCTGCGTGCGTGGCAAAACTGCCCCTTGCACGACGGTTGGGCAAACGTTCGCAAAACAAGGCTTTGCAACATATCACTCACAGAACCAACGGGCTTTTCCCGGCTGCCGTGCTTTACGTGAACAAGTAAAAAGGGGATTTCATGTACAACTTGTGTGTACACATAACCCTGCACGGCTACTGCACATGAGTTTCTGGAAGAAACTCGGGTGAGACAGGCTCTTCCAGGTTTGCCGTCATCACGTCGACTGATCTGATGCTGGCTCCTGAAAGCTTGGTGAACGACGTGAGCTGCTGCAGAACCTCCTTGCTCCACCTCATTGAGCAAGTCCTGGTCGGCGGTATCTATTTTTTCCACCTGAAAGCAGGCCGCTTCGCCTGCGCAAAGTAGCACCCGATCACTGTCCGAGGTGGAGACCAGGACTGTCTGTCAGGTAACCAGCTCAAGGGTCTCCAAGTGCAGTCCTCCAGGCTGCTCAGGCCGCCGCCGTAGCACAACCCTGGCGTTCTCCCTGCAAGGCGATTACAAGATATTACAAGAGCCTGATACAAACGGTTTGTTTCCTGCGAGGCCGGTTCCCCAGTCCGGAGCGCCAGAGCTGCAGCAAGGCCCTTCCAAGTCCGGACCGCAGTTGGAGCCCAGCCACCGCTGGCCTCCACAACCACGGATGAATTGCAGGCCCTGCACAGAGCGCACCGCCTTTGTATCGAGGTGGGCGCACTTGCTGGCCTCATAGTCCGCAGCAGGGCCGCCCCCATGAACAGCAGCTGCAGCATGGCAGCCTGGCCGCCCCGACCGTCACAGCGAGGTCGAAAGCAGCTGGCCCATGCATGCCCCAGCTCGGAACCCAAACGTTCGCAGGGCGCCGGCCATTGGCTCCGTCCGGTCTCCCCCACGATCGCCGAACTTGTCTCCTACCCGCTCCGTGGACCCACCACAAACTATGAGCTCACGCTTCTGCGGGTTGAGTTGCAGGCCGTCTAGGCAGCCAGCCGGGACAGCGCAGCACGGGTGGGGAGGCACCGACCAAGCAGGCATCGTCCAGGAAGGCAAAGACTAGTTCGGTCGGGCCGTCATACAGCAGGGCCCCACTTTGCAACCTGCAAGGCCGGTTGGAATGCCAGGACAAACAGCAGCGGCCCGAGCGGATCTCCTTGTTACACGCCAACCTCCCTCCGAGGTCAGGACCGTGCCATCGAACGGCAGGAGTGCCGATCACAGCACCGCTCTGCCCACGGAGCCAATCCAGCGAATTGCACGCGAACCTGTCGGAGCAGTGTGTGGCCCTGTCAACAACATTGCAGGCGTTGTGGAAGTCCACCTTCAAAAACACCTTGATGGGGTGCTACCTCGACGTGAACAGAATGCAAAAGTGCAGACAAACCATCAGCAAGTTAGCTCGACCGAGGTTTCGAGGACCAGCCTCCCCGGTGGGTGTCTAATGGTGATTTGGTTGCTTGAGCCGGCACTGGTAGCTCTTCAGCACCAACAACAGCATCAACAGCATCAGCAGCAGCAGCGGCAGCAACACCAGAAGCAGCAGAAGCAACAGCAGCCACTACGGCCACCGCGACTACTTTTGCTGCTCTGCTGATGTCAGCAACCGCAGCCACCACCACCACCACCAAGATGCAGAGCATGGGCCTCATTTTTGCATTGTCGCGTCTGTGTGTCGACACTAGGTGCAACACGCATTGCACAAACAGTGCTTGAGCGCCTTGCTGCTGTCCCCATGCATACATTGATGTTGTTTTAGCATTACGGGGTCAAGATGTTACTGGCAGGTTCTTGGAGGCCGCACCTCCCCGCCAGCGCGAGCAGTTCTCCGGCATGGCACCGGGGGCTCGTGTAGACCTTTCGCAGTGTATAGCTGGTGACAGCGGATAACACGACGTTGTTGGTTTCGCAAGATGACACAGGTAAGGTGCCAGCTTCTGCGAAGCTTGCATTTCCACACGGAGCAAGACAGTCTTTAAATCTCTTTAAGGCGTTGGTTCTACTTGCTGTGCCCTCTGCTACTGGAAACAAGCAAGTGCAGCATACCTGAGCTTGATGCTTTGAACGAGAAGCTTCTTTTCCGCAAGCGCAAATCATTTACGAGGTTCCCTAGATTGCATCCAACGCGCAGCAGCGCGATGGAAGTCCCAGACTAAGTTGGAACAGTCCACATGGTGCCCTCCGAGAACATCCAACAAATCCCACACCTTCAGCCGATAATTTTCAGCGCGGCACGAACCAGCCGTGCTACGCAAGCATTCTCACGACGCGTTCTCTAGAAGCTTCCTCGGAATCTCTCCCGCACAGCAGACCTCATCAGCTTAATCACAAATGGACGTTGTTCGACTGTGAGTTGCCTCCAGCTCTTTCGGCAGCAAGGTCTTAGCATATGGCAATTGCAAAACTACAGAGATGCCGGCAGACCTCACGCATTCAAGATACTTAGGTCTTGTACGCTAAGGGCGTGCTTTGCCTGCAGGTCCGATCATTGGAATATTTGCGTCGCGCCAAGACGAGGCCACAAATCAGAAAATTGAAAACTTCTGACCCGAAACCTGAAAACCTCAAAGCCCTGACTCTGAACCACTACTCTGAGCTGCACACAAAGAAACCCCTGCGTCCTGACTCACCAGTGCTTTGAGAAGAGTTCAGGGGTTGGGTTCCTCGTTTAGAGGTCCCTTTGTGCTTTGATGGACAAGGGTATGTAAGGGTGTTATTTGGCTGTATTTTCTGAAGCTCTCATGTGAACTTGAGTTAACTTCTGAGAATGACCTCCAGGTAGCTGTTGGGCAGGGCATGGATGTATGAGATGTAGGACTTCCTGAACGATAAAGGCCTACACTGCATGCAATCTGAGAAGCGAGAAAATATGTGGATGGGCGGTTGTTAGCATCTTTCCCCACACTCCGTACTGTTGATCTGTCACCCTGCAGTTGACTTCCGGAACCTGTTCCGGGTCTTTGCAAAGACGGGGGGCGCATCTTGTTCGAGGTCATTGCAACAGTAAAGTTGTGATGGTTTTATTTCCATATTCGTTTGTTCCCTGCAAGAGAAGTTCCACCAGCACCGTCCCATCACCGGCATCATCATCTTCTTCTTCTTCTTATTATTATTCTTCATTTCCTGCCTCCTGCAAACGAGTGCCAGGGAGGACACGAGCACGAGCAACCTTGCCTTTGACCTGCAGGACGCCGCATTGCTCTCAACATGCGAGTCGGTGCTGAGGGTCGGTGGTTCAGGCTTGGGACCAGATCTTAGGATTTGGTGTTTAACTTGCATTGGGTCTAAGATTTGACTGGCCAGGTTTGGCTTTGGCAGTGTGGAGGCTTAAGTTTCAACGACTTCGTGCTACAGCGGCATGAAGGAACCAGAAGGGAAGTATGAGGATATTACCGGATTGAGGGTAATGAGTTTCTCTGGGGTCGACGTCGTCGAATCCTGCGTTCAGGGTTCATAGTTGAAGGCGCATACACCCCTTAAGCCCAATAAAGCCTTAGCAGACCTTGCAGAACAAACCCCAGAAGAGCTTGTATACAGAACTACAGTACTCTAGAGTTTATCTCAAAGGTTTGAGGTTTTACATCTTGTGCCTTCGAACGCTTGCATTGGTACCCCTAAGCCCTAAGCTTCAGAAGCCTCGACCACGTCAGCAGCCGTTTGCATCGTCGCTAGCAGGATAGGAAATCTCAGACTAGGTTCAACTCAGCACTGCATGAAACCTCCAAAGCGCACCCGACGCTGCCCAAAGCAGCTGTGGCGATGAGGAGAATGCTCGACTGTGGCGGCCGCCGAAGCAAAGGCCGGAAAGGAAAGTTCACGAAGAGAGTCTATCTGGGACCTGCAAGATCGTCCGGGAGAACCTCACTGTAGAGGTTGGGGTGAGACTGGGGGAGGGAGGGGAGATGACCTTCGCCAGGGAATGAAGTCATCTGCCGTGTCTTTGGCATCGCATGTTGTACAGTTGTCGAGGTAAGGAAGATCCAAATTGCATCTTAACGCAGACAGGACAGGCAGTCCTGCGAAGTCCAAAACCCCTAGATCTTCTACTGACGAATCCCCAATCGTCAAAAGAAGATTCTTCAAGCCTTCGAGCTTACAAGCTGCTTCTGAGCAGCGGAAACCCGGACCGAGAGGCGTCTCCCAAACTTTAACCGTTACGGAGTACGTAGCTGCCTCAACCATTTGAGGATAGATAAGAGTTGTATAGTCCTACCATGTGCGATAGGTTCATTTTGTCTGGATCAGGAGACTCGGCAACTGTGTTTCAGCCTTTTGTCAGTTTATGTCAGTTCTGAATTTATAACTTGTGTGGTTTGCTTCGTGGTTGTTGCCTTCAGGTGCAGGGTTCTTGGCCTGGTAGTCAAGACTTCGCATTTTTTGGTTGTCGCGAATTCCGTAGCAGGAAATGCATGCTGCTGACTCCACAACGTCTCATGGCTGGACTGAAAACCATTCGAATCCCGTGCCATACCAAATCGAGACCGAAACACCTGGGCCCAGAAACTGACTGAAGCCCTAGAAAATCCACCGCGAAAACTAATTCGTTCGCCCGGCAAGCTCTAGGATTTGGGAAATAACTATTCTGTGATTTCTCTGTGATATGGCCGTGATTCGGGAACCCGCCTCTGCAGCAGAATCACAGCCAAATCACAACCGAATCACAGACCAATCACAGATAAATCACAGAAATAAATATTTCCATGAGTGCTCGAGGTTGCCGGAGCTGGCAATCTCAACCGTAGAGTTCACCGACGTGTTCCAAAAATGCATCAACTAAGTCCGTTGAACCTCGCACGGCCGCTGCATTTACTCCAGCCTATAAGGACCCGGAACAGAAATAGGCGGAATAGTGATGTAGCAGGCGGTGCACAGACCGCAAAACCTTCCGCAGCCCAGCACATCCCGCCCTTGATAACGAGTGCCAAGGCCTTTCAGTAGTCAGTCGGCCATATATCTAAAAATGCTTTTCGTTCACGAAGCACTGTCGAGGCCAGCATCATATTTAATGTTCGATAAATGCAGCACTGAGTTGCGCGCGCATCCATATTGCATCCGATCTCAGGGTCCAGCAAGCACCCTTGCAAAGGCCAAACCAAGACACATCCTGCCACTCCTCCATTTGTAAACACAGAGGATTTCGATTTCAGGGTCCAGCAGGCAGCCCTGCAAAGGCCAAACACGACACCTCCTGCCACTGCCCCACTTCTAAGCACAGAGGATTTCGAAGCCTGGTTCAGCAGGTCAAACTTTTCTTCCCTTCGTCTGGCAGCAATAGCTTCGTGTCATTCATCGAGTCCTTGCAGCTGTGTACAGTGGTCGGCAAACCGCGCACCTGTGCGCAAATAGAGTCTGACAGAAGAGAGCCTTACAGGCGTCGGGTTCAACATCGACCGTCTTCTCCGAAGCACTAGTCACTAGTCCATCTTGTCGGATGAAGGCTCGATGCCGGCGAACATGACCTCTCACGTAGCTGCTCCCACAAGTCATGCCAGACAGTGGACAAGGCCACCTTGCCAAAGTGTCATCGTCACCACTGATCGTCTTGCTTGCGCAGCAGTCCATCGAATGCCGTGCTCGGGACAGCTCCTCAAGCAAATGAAAACAGTTTCCAACATAGGGATCACGCAGTAGCAGGCATGGTCTTGACACCGTACCCCATCTCCTGCTGAACCACATGCTGTTCCACAAAATGCTTTTAACTCGCCTCTTGGAGACACTCGTCTCCAGCCTCTGCTCCAGCTGCAAGCACCCATCAAGCATCCCAGCAACAACTTGTCGCGACAAATCCTGGAGTTTTTGGGTTAGCTTTTCCGATTCCACGAGGCATTGTATAGGGAACTGGAGTTTCTGCAACTTGCGCCTCTAAGCGCTAGATCCAAAGCCGTACAGCAAACCCTGAAACATCGACCGGAATGGGCCAGGCCGGTCTTCGAGCCCTGGGAGATTAACATCTCCCGGATCCCGTTGGGTGCCATGCAGCAAGGCCCTGCCAAGGCAGAGGAAATACCAGAGTTCTAGGTTCAGGATTTCAGTTGTTTGTGGGGTCTAGGGTTCTGGTCTGCGGTCGCCGGGGCTTGAAGACTCAGACCTGCACAAGCCGACGCAGTGTAGCTGTAAGCCCCGAACCAATCAAGGCCCATGGCCAAAACAAATCGAAATCAAAAACCCCACTTGATCACTCCTGGCAGACACAGAACAAAGCGCTTAGAAACAGTCCAGAACAACAGGAAGGAGCTAGACTAGATGTAATGGTTGCTCGAAACGCTGACGGCACAGGAAACAACTGTGAAAAAGCTTTATGAAGTAACGAGGTATGCAATAATCAACGTATCAAACACGCCTGCATACACATGCATGCGGATCCAGAAAGCTTGACCTGCCAAGATGACGGGGTATACATCACCAGAATTAAAGTTTCGTCACACTTGGCCACACCATCTTGCAGAGGACGCGGAGTACTTACAAGTGCATGTTACGTGGCCTGGCTAGCAGAGGAATCAATCCACTGGAATAAAACGATACTATCATAACGTTCCCGACGGAGGACTTGGTGGAGGAGTCTGAAGGGAAAAGAGGTTTGTACCGTGTTCAAGAGCGACATACAGGAGTGCGACGAACTTCGTCCTGCCGCAGCATGAATGTTGGGACCGATGGTCCAGCACAATTCGCAGTTCCACCCAGCTTGCATACGGGCTGGGATGCCTGTCTCAAGGACGGGTGACATGGCTTAAGATGCCTTTGACCTTGAAGATACACAGCTTCTGAGAGATACAGTACGTCTACAACAACATTGAGAGCATGAGGGGTCCGCCCCTACAGATTTTATTGTCTGAAACGCCTTTCCGTGAGCAGCATGAATATTGGGGCCGGTGGTCCAGCACAATTCGCAGTCCTGACACGGTGCACCAAGCTTGCCTACGAGTTGGCAAGATCCTAGCATGTGTCTCACGAAATTTGCAACCGGACTGGACTCTGGCCGCCAAGATGCAGGCTGCCTTCCGTAACCGTTTTTTAGACGGGATGTCTGTCCCAAGGACCGCGGACATGGCCTAAGATGCCTTTGACCTTGAACATCTACAGCTTCTGAGCAGATACACTTAACGTCTACAACAACATGCAAAGCATGAGGGGTCCGCAAGTACAGATTTTTAGTCTGAAACGCCTTTTCGTGAGCATCACCAGAATGAAAGTTTCGTCGCACTTGGCTCACCATCTTGCGGAGGACGCGGAGTACTTACAAGTGCATTTTACGTGGCTTGGCTAGCGGAGGAAGTAGTACACGGGTATAACATGATATTACTAGAATGTTCCCGACGGAGGACTTGGTGCGTGTTCACGAGCAACATACTTGAGTGCGACGAAGTTTCGTCTTGATGCAATAGGACCTTTGGGATTCAGCTTTAGATGATGTGGCCCCTCTTGTTTTGCAATGGCATCGATGAAGCCCTAACCTCATGTTCGCGATCGGTTATGCAGGAAGTTTATAAGGTTTTGTCAGTGTCTTATAAGGCTGACTACTGTAACGGCTGTTGTTTGCATAATTTCTCAATCTGGGGGGTTCAAATTTCAGGGATCCTGATTCGACTGTTTCCTTTGATATCTTACGGCCTTATTTTGTTGAAACGCGACTTGCAAATTCTGCTATCTTGGCTTAGTTCGGTTCGTGTTTCTGAGACTTATTAAACAGTTAATCCCCAGCATTCACGCCCTCCGTGTGCCGGCACCCAGCCTCGAACTCGAACTCTCATACTCAAAGGTCGCAAAAATCTCGAAACCAAACACCACTACCTTCAAAATGTTACAGTAACCTCAAGCTCGGGACTATTCGACTATTCATAGGGCTATTTGTAAGGTCTCAAAGACTCAATTATTGAGCCCAGTTGCAATAGCTCAACCCCGGTAGAACTGCCGCACCGCTGCAGCCGCGCGTCGACATTGCGGAGCCATCCTTGCCGCCGGTGCCCCCGAGCCCTTCCGTGTTCGACACCCAATCTCCGGGATTCGGGGAAGCAGACGACTCGACTTCCTGAAGTTAGGGCTTTATCCGACGGATATACTAAACGACGTTCAAGCCGCCTCTGTCCATTCCAAACCCTAAGCTTTGTCGGCCGGGGTGCTGTTGATCCGTAACTGACGAGATGCCAGGAAGTTCGACACGAAGAGTTTGAGCGTTGATTCTTCTAGGCTGCACGATGCCAGAATCCTGACGTAAAGCGCAAGCCCTCCACCTCATGGCCTCCTTGTAAGTAAGCTGTCCACATGCCAGTGAGTGCCAAGTACCATTAGCTCCTACGAATCGCAAGCTTCACAGTCCAAGGTCCGGCCTAGGAAGCTTGCCGCTGACCCGCCTTCCCACGCCGCAGGCACGGTAGTTCCGAACTAGGACGAAGGGGTATCGGGTCTGGGGTTTTGGGGAGCTTGGTGCCATTGTCCGCTCATGGCTGGGTTAGTTGGGGGGGCGCCACGGTCAGAATGCTAAGACGGTGGGCCGTCGTTTTTCTCAACAAGGAAGCTTCTTGAATGCTGGTCTGAAGGGGCTTATAGAGGTGCTGAAAGATGAGAAGCACAAACTGTAGTGGTTTCGAAGTGGGTCAGACGGCATGTCGGATTTACGACCTGCAGCTTCCCACGGAGTTTATCGCCAAGCAACCCCAAGGGTTAAATCAGCCAGGAGTGTCTCGAGCACAAACCGCCCGAAGCCCAGGTCCTCTCCGAATGTGGATCAGCTTAATGCTTCTGAACTGCATCCAGATATAAAGCATCCTGGGTCAGGGTGGCTTGCATGTGGACACGATCACGCATTTTCTCTGCCTTCAGCCCTGACACGAAACCCTGACATCCCTGACTGAACCCTACTGCAAAAAACAGGAGCATAGTCATAGTCTGAATCAACAGGTTCCAGTCCGACGGAGGCTTTGGAAACTGGGGTCAGGGTGGGTTTAGGGCTGTTGGTCCTCAAGCTCAAGAGCACGCTCCCAGATGTGAGCACAAAGCAAGTTAAGCGGACCCCTTGCAATCTCCCCAGCATCAGGCCCATCACCTTGTCACAATCACAGAGTGATGGGCCTGATGGGCCATGATTGGGCATGCGCAAGGTGACATCAGAGTCAGGAGAGAAAGGTCTTTCTCATCAGAGGGACAGACCTAGAGATCCTCGCTTGCATCGCATGTAACACTACGCTTCCATCCTGGTGACAAGTTGCCATTAAGTAGAGGTGTGTGACTCTCAGGGTTGCAACAGACTCGGAAGCTGATCAGGCCTTGGAGGCCCTGCAGCCTCAGAAGGGAAGCCCAGGGCTGCTGGAGGTGCCTTGGCGCAAGGAGGACTTATTGCCCGCTCCTGCGCCGTGAGATGCCGTGAGACGTCTGCCATCGTGTGCCGATCGCATTCGCCGCGGCTGCTGAACTTTAAAGACGCGCAACACTTGTAGCATCATGCGGTATGATAACATGTGATCTTCAGTCACACCCTCTCAGCATTCTCAGGGTGCTGAGCAGTTGCAACAAAATCTTCAGACTTGGGCGGAAGATGTGTTAAGAGTGTTGGTAATTTTGCATCACATAGCCATGGAGTGTCTTGGGTCCGCCATGTCTCCCGGTGAGAGGCGTAAGCAGAGTTGCAAGCATAACAAAGTCGGCCAAGTTACCTTTGTCCGAATCTGTCAGCAGCACGCCTGGAGTCGTGCCAGAGTGGCTTGGAGGTTTACCTCACCTCCGATTGACGGAGGTGCCTTGAAAGGGTCCGTGGCGGATGGTAAATTTCAGATTTCTAAGTCCCTGATATGGTCTGAGGATTCGGATTCAGGGTGCATCTCAGGGTCTCAGGGTCCACTAGCAAAGCATGTATGGCTCAGAGCACAGCTGCATGACCTCTGCCTCAGCCGCACCCCAGCAGCGAATCATAAATTCAAGACTAGGCCGCTCCTGAACATGATTTTTCATGCGCAGTATGTGAAGGGAGGCAACCACAGAACAGTTTTATTGTGCCGGCGACAACGTAATAGTCAATTAGTCCACGGATGTCCTGTGTAGACTGTGCATGCAGGCTCTCGCCCAAAGGGCAGGGCTTCTGATCCCGACCAGCAGCACTAAAAGGCTCTTTCATGGCGCTTTCAAAAGGCTTAACATAGCATCTAATGAGACCCTATAGATCGTAGGATTCTCAGTACAAGGACTGCAAACGAAGTGGCCGTAATTTGAAACAACACCATGTGGTCAGGATGTTTCATAAAGCAACAAGAGAGCCAGAAACGGGATCCTCACCCTAGACCTTAGACTATAAACGTGTAACCTAGAGAAGGAGTACTAGGATCTGTGAAAAGAAGGTCGAGGTAACGCTTTACTGTGCTGTAACGGGCTTCGAGGCCCGGACCACATGATGTATTGAGTCTAGACTCCGCTGGACACTTGGATTCAGGCCTAAGCCCCAACTTGAAGTTATGGGCAAAAGGGGCTTTGCTTCTTGTTTTTTTGGAATCCGATTAGACCGGAGCCGAGTCTGGAAGCTGTGTTTCACTCCAGAGACCGCCACGGATTCGTGATCTGGATCATTCACAGGTCCTTAAGTTAGGCCGCTGACTTTGCACATTGGACTTATGAACTTGAGTCTTCGTTGTGGGTTTACGGGGTTTCAGACTTCACAAGCCTTGTCCGCCCCCCCAAGCACAACCCCGAAAAGCCAGAAGTGCGAAGCTCCGCGGCCAATCAGTCTCTGCCGAAACATTACCTAGCGTCGATAAAATCGACCCGGCCATCGTGAAAACCAAGCTTCGTGGGATGTGGACACCGGCTCTTCGAAGGTTATACTCAGCGTATCAAGGCTTAAGGCTTATAAGGATCGGGGTTTTGGAGATTCCACTTCGGTGAGTTCCGGGATGGGGGGTTTGTGTCTGTGTGTGTGTGTGTGTGTGTTGCTTAGAGAAGGCTGCAATGCGCCTGCCCCGAGGCCCTGAACCTTTCAACGCGATATAGGTGAAGAAGAAACTTCAACGGTTTGAGGGTTGGGTTCGAAGGCTTTTTCGGTTGAAAGCTGCCTGGGGCGGCAGCTGCGATAACCTGCCTTAGCAACTGGGGTTTGGCTTCTGCCTGGACAGAGCTTGGAGCTTGGTCCCGGTGTAAGTAAGGGCTTGTCAACAATGCGGGACGGGGCTCAGTTAAGTATGTTGCCAATGACTGAAAGCTTCTTTTCGGCCTTTGCGCCTTCATTTAGAGAAAGGCGCTGGAAGCCCGAGTAGCGGAAGCATTGCACGATTCACGATGTCCGGGAGCCTGGGGAATGAACGTGAGACGCTGGTTTTTGTTTGGCTTGGCGTTTGTGATTATATTGAATGGGGTTGCGATCGCAAGCGACAGAGGGCGTGCCGGTTGGAAGGCTTTCTAGTTCTAGTGCGGACCTCGCACCGTGGGAAGGCTGCTGTAGTTCTGCAGTTGAGGGCAGCAGCTCGTTCCACACCTTCATCGCAGATGTCCGGCGCTGTGAGTGCTATGCAAAGGTTGGGGGTAGGGGTGTTTGCGTGGCTAGCGTGCTTGTCTAATGCTATGGCTCGAAGAAGTCACGCCTTGACTAGGAATTTTCCGGTGCCGTGTGGCCCATTGAAGCAATGAAGCGTCCTGCTTCACCCACATGGAGGTGACTGGGTCTCCGAAGAGAATCCTAAGCGTGCAAGGACTGTAAGCATAGATGCTGGAGCGCATGTGAGTCTTGCCTAAGCCCTAACCGGCCCTAACCCTAAACCCAGGCACTTCTCCTTGTTGCTGCTGCTGACGCTCATCAACGAAGCAATGACCTTCAAGGTCGCATCGGGTTCAACCGCAGCTGTACATGATCTAAAGCCATCCAAAGGCTCAGAATCCTAAAAGCCAAAACTCCCTAAACCCTAAGCCACTAATAAACCCTAAAACCCAAATGGCCATCTGAACCAAAACTCCCCAGAGGCCCAGTCAACTCTGCCGAAGGTCACATCAGACCCAAGTTTGATCCAGTCCAACGAATCTTCTGCAGCCGAAGACAAGGCCGAGCCGACCAAACTGGGAGCTGATAGCATGGCTCTCATGGTGGGGAGTGTGGTTTTTCGGGGTTTGAGGGTCCAGGATTTCGGGTATGTGGAGTTATTGGAGTTTCCGGGTTAGGGCTTGAGGATTTGAAAGCCCACGGCTCCCTACAAATGGTGATTCGGTGAGCGTATACAGTTCTGAGCGCGTCGAGCTTGGAATCCTTGTGAATGTTGTCTTTTTCAGATCTATGGATCCCCATAATTATAGTACCTTGACATTCGGGTAAATATTTAGGTCACCCTATTAATGGAAACCAGCATATCTGCAATCCCAGTGCCAACAGTCACACCTGCAGTATAAAGACCTGCATGTAAATGATTCCCCCTCCCCCCCAAAGCTGCCAGCTTGTTTTGGTGAAGTCATTCTGATCCTCGTGGTGTGGGTGGCTGCCTTCCTCCAACGTAGTTGTTAGCAGTGTTTGTTGCTGAGGTCATTTTGATACCTCCCCCCCCCAATCTTATGGGTCGCACTGCCCCCACACCACCCACACAACTGTCTGTCGACCTTTTTGTGATTGAAGTCAGACAGATCTTTCCCCTGCCCCTGCGGTGTGTTGTTTCCAACCCTCAGCATTCGGATGTTGCCAGCATGCTTGCAAATGGCTGTCGCCGTGCAGAATCAAGACCGAGGTTATGAAGAGTTTCCTCCCCTTTGGTTGGTAACTTATGCCCTCCTTTGCTGTTGGCGCAAGGTTTATCGGTCTGGAATTGCTTTATGAAGCCTGCACCAATTGAGAATAAGTTTATGCACAGTTCGTTCAGATCTTCCCCCTCCACCCGTGATGTGCTGGCGGTTTTCAGCACAGAGAATGCTGGGGGGACATCGTGACTTGGATTTTGTGTTGGACTAACCTCAGCAATGTTACAAAAGGACACGATCCACGGAACCCGTGTTTGGTTTTTGCTGTGTGCTTTTGGTGTCTGTGCGCAAACCCAGGAAGCCAGTGAGTGAGTGAACCCCGGCCTCCGGCACGACAGCAAAACAAAAGCGCGCCCCGGGGACGACAGCAAGAAGAAAGGCGCCCCCACAACGACAGCAAACAAAAACACGTCCCTGCAACGACAGCAAACAGACAAAAAGCACTTGTACCCACGATCCACTGTCAGGGTCATGCAAAAATTGCCATGACATTAATAAGTTCAAAAGGGAAGTAGGATCCGTGCGATAACGACCCCAACCAGCAGGTCCATGATCTGGAGAGATCTCACCGGGTAAATGTTCTGAATAAAGGTTGGTTGCTTTTCCTGCGACGGTCCTGCGTGAGGCTTCCGAGATTATTTCCGCCGTCGATCACTGTTTGGCTCAGCGAATCTGTATGGTTTACATTAACTTTGATTTTTCATCGTAGTTGTAACCCTATAGATAACTCCAAACCCCTAAACCCCAAACACCGCAAACACCCCGAACCCTAGAACCTATGCATCCTTGACCCTGATCCTAAATCCCTAAACCCTGAATCCGAAAACCCGAAACCGAAGCGAACTTCCTTAGCAACCCAGGAATGGTGGACGCAGAGACCGACGACTGGAAGCTGGAGCGACTCAACAAGGTCAGGACTGTTGGAATCGGGGCCCGGGTTCTTTTCCTTCTTCAAGCTGAACATTAGCCGTTAGCCTAACCTGTAAACCTCAACCCTAAGCCCTTCTTCCTGTCCCGGGTTCCTCTTTCGGCTCGCAGAGGTGCGCACTGCAGAAGTCGTGATGCGGCTGGTCCGGGCCAAGGTCGGAATGAGTGATCTTGGGTTTAGAGTATAGGGTGCATGGGTTTAGGGTTTATGGCTCATGGGACTTCATGGGTGTAGGGTTTCGGGTGCATGGGTTTAGGCTTTAGGGTTTATGGGTTCAGGCTTTAGCTTTATGGGTTTTGTTGACGGACTTACTCGAACGGGCCCTGCCTTTTTTCTTATCACGCCACAACAGTACGATTGGTAAAGAACTGCAAAGTCTGCCATAGAAGAACTTGAGCCAATCGTCAGATCCTTTTTTGTCCAGTTGCTGAAAGAACATGATATGGCAACCCGGCACGCAGCTCTTCGCACCGCATCAGCATCATCACATCACGTGCCACCTTTTCGTGCTCACTTGTTGGTTCTTGATTCTGTGAGCCTGCTGATTGCACCGGCCATTAGAATGCTGCATCCACTCATGTTGCGATCTGTGCCTAGGTCTTTTCGGTGACCTGGACCCAGAAACTTTCGTAGGCATCGTTGTTGCTGGCACGGTACGCGGGTAGTTGGCCTTGTGCTCGACATTGCACTTGATTGGGCTTCAGTAGGTCCCTCTGGCCTTGGTTGACGAAGTCCTTCTTCTCTAGTGGTTGAAGCAGCCGTTGTCTTCTGCGTAGTACGCCTGTCCAGTTCCTTCTGAATTTCCCTGGCGGTTGCAGCTCGCAGCAGCGTCTCAAGACGTCGTACCTCGTTGATCCACCGGGACCCCAAACGTAGGCTTCTTGCAGGAAGTACTTTAGTGCCTCCAAACAAACCAGACCAGCCCATATCATAAGGAGCAGCATCATTTTGCCAGCCAAATCCCAGTCCAGCCCTAACTTCGGTTGCGCTTCTTTCGTTGTTGCTTCGGCTAAAACCATTAGCAAGCAGCACACTAATGCCACCAATGCCCTTGACCCTGGCACCCTTAATACCCCCAATCTTCAAGCGGTCACACAGGCGCTGACTTGGTAAGGCCCTGATCAGTAGGTCCGCTGGCTGCCTTATTCCAGGAACATGCTGAGTCCTCAGAGTCCCTGCTGTCAACTCCTCCTGCAACCGACTTGCCTTGATCCGTAGGTGACGTGTCCTCCAGCTTCCGGTTCCAGCTGACGAACTGAGAGCGGTCTGATGTCTCCTGTAGCATGGCTTCCACCCCCAACATTGCGATGCTTCCTTCCAGGATTGCATTCAGCTCTGCTTCCGCTGTCGACAAAGCCGTTGTACTTTGCCTGGAACTCTTCCACAGTATTGGGGGTGCCACCGTAATATATAACCCATCATGTCTGATTTCGGCTCGCTGAGGGGGCGAAGGCTGCATCTGGGTACATTGTAAGGTTCGCCCCGTCCGAAGCAACTCGCAAGTAGTAGGCGCTTGTCCGTTGTAGATATTTCAACATCTTGAACGCCATGCTTGCAACCCTGGTTGGAGCTCTTGTAGACATTAAAGACAACACACAGCAACCATAGCATAGATCTGGCCTCGATCGTCGAGAAAGCCGAAGCAGCTCTCCTCTGATTTGCTGCGCTTGATGTACTGCTCTTCAGTAGGCTCCAAATCGCCCGGTAGTAGCTCGAACACCGCCGCATCCCTTGACACGGGGATCTTGCTCTGGTCGGACTGCTTCATGTCATAGGCCCGCAACAACTCCTCCGCCTCATTGTCGCCACGCAACGTTAGCTCCATTCCCAGGAACTTCACCGCATTTTCCTTTGTAAGGATCGTGAGCTCTCCCGCTGTATCACCTTTGCCAACTGCTTTGAAATCTCCAGCAGTCCCATGAGGAGGTAGTCATCGACATAAATGAGGATGATTGCCACCAATGCTCCTGAGCCATTCCTGACTCCCTGCCAACTTGTGACTGTCTTTCCATGTTTCATTGAAAGTCCCATAGGTGATTCCAGCTTGCGCATACAATCATCACGATGCTGTGCCCACAACATTGATGCTTGACGCAAACCGTATAAAGCCCTCACCAGTGACCATAGCTCGAAGTGGTCCGCCAATTGCAGCTTCTCGAGAACCTTAGGCGGCGCAGCAAGTATAATTAACTGGCACTCCTTCTCCAGCCGTTGGAGTGTAAAGGACTGCAGCCACCACATCCAGAACTCCCGTTGCAACGGAACTTCCGAATAAGAACCAAGCTGGTTCTCACTGCTTATGATGATGCTGCCAATGTGTAAAGTGAACCAGTGAACCAGTTTCAGCTGCTGCATAGTTACCACAAGTGACCCGCCGTGCCTTTCTGCGGTACCATGTCGAAGAATCACTGAGGTCTGCCTTGGGATTCGGCTTGACGGTGAACCCCAGTTTCATTGATAGTCGCTGAGCTCTTGGAGGCCGAACCCAGCACTGTCTATCCCTGTCATCTATCTTCAATCGCTTCATTGCCGCCTCGATCCCACGCATCTCCCTTGCGATTGTGCCAGGCCATTTGTGTAGTTCAGCCATTGCTTCCGCCGGGTTCACATTGTGCGTCAACTCCAGGCCCAGTCAATTCGCTGAGCACCTTTATCTGGTGTGTAAAACCAACTTGCGCCTTTCCGATCCTTGGTCCACTTGGGCGATCTTGGCCTGCTGACGAGTCCACCTTCACAAGTCCATCCTCCACCTCAAGGTACACACACCATGGCGCGTCATCGTCCTCATGAACTGCTCCATCATCATTCACGAGCTCCTCTTCAACCTCAACCTTTGAGACCACTGCTGCTGGCTCCTGTTCCTTGAGGAAATCTCTGGCGTCTGAGAAGGAGGATGTACGAGTCCATAAGATTCCAGGATCTGAAACCATCTCGTTTGTCAACTTTCCCATACACTGTGGTGTATAAGCAACAAGCACGGTCCCTGGGCCTTGCCACGGTAGTACCTCATGTCTCTTGCACGGGCTGAACTTGATATACTGATTTGGCTTCAAATGGGAAAGCTGACCATAGCGCTGAAGTCCTTTTTCATCAGTGCGATCATGGACTCCACCTTGAACAACGTCACCGGCAGACAACTCCACCCATAGATCTCCTCGTCGATCAGGAAGACATACTGGCAGAACATAGTTGAAACACTGACTGACATTGTTGCTGTCCATGTGAAGTCCACGCTCCGTATTTCTAGCGACGCACATAGCTGTAAACGTTGCTTCTGCATGGAGTCACATCAACCACCATTCTCGCCAACACCTGCGTGATGTCCGGATGTTCTATTATCGCATTCATCAACCCAACTTCACCGCCATGCCTGAACATCCCGAACTTGCGATCATCGATCATCGAAGAAGCCTGCCTCAGCCAGCTCGTCAACCAACCTTGTAGCTTCGCTCAAACTCCGGCGTTGTAGTAGCACTTGTGCACGATCCTTGGCATAGTTGTTCAAATCCCCACTAGCTAACGCAGTCTTCCTCATAGCCACATTTTCCAGTGGAGTCTTTTCTAGCGGCTTTGGAACCTCTTCAACTTCCGATTCACCTTCAAAGGGTTCTGGTTCAACTAGCCGTGGTCGAACATGATAGGTGTGGATAAACATCTCCTTGCGCTCCTCCTGGTCCAGAACGTAGACAACATGGCCTCCGTCAAGTGGGTTGCTGACGCCCACGTAGACGCCTCGTGTCCACCCTGTCTCAAACGCCCTGTCCCTCTTCCTAGGTCACGGACCTTCTCCTTGATGCGCAGAACTGCCCCAAACGGGGCTGCCAGCTTGCTTCTCCAAGTGAGGACTCGTGCTCGCTGGGTTGCCGTTGCTGCTTCCACTGCCGTAGGCCACAACCTCGTTGGTAGCGAAGCTCCAATCAGTAGTGTTCTCGGCTGACCTTTCGCCCATCTTACACTCGGCTGACCTTTCGCCCATCTTACTGTAGCCTCAGCTTTGCCATTGCCTCGCGGAATCCCCGGCTCAGACCACGTTGCTCGTACTCCCCGGTCACGAAGCCAGCTCCTGATTGAACAGTTGAATGTCTCGCCTTTGTCGAAGTGTAGCCGATAGACCGGTAGTCCACGCGCCTCCAAGTACAGGACGATGACGATCCGGGCCTTCACCGAAGTGGTCTTATTGTCCCTGATTCCAAGCGCAAAGATCAGGTAGGTGCTCTCCGAGGACTCGCAGTCAACTATGACCTTCTCCTCCTGCGACTGGTCCAGCTCATATTGATTGTTCACCTCGTCGCCCACCTCAGACGGCTCACAGAGGGAATCATCGTAGTCCACGTGCTCCTCCTGTTGCTTGGTTGTGCCACCCAGGAAACCTGGACCTGAAACTTCATCTGGATCATTGAGCCGCAATGGGTTTGGCTCTTCTCCATCTTCCTCGTTGAGGATCGCCTCCACCCCCTCATCATCATCACCTGCTTCGACAAAGGGATCATCCTCCGAGGTCGTAGATTGAACTGTTGCACTGGAAGATTCCTCATGATTTTGCGGTTCAGCATGCTCTTCCTTACAATTGTTCGTGACCAAGCCAGCATCAGGTGGTTCTTTACCGCTATAGGCCTTTACGAACTCCTTTGACATGGTGTACTTAGCAACGATCATGTACTTCAAGCCTCGCCCCATTGTACCTTGTCAACTCACATCAAGTCCATGATTCACTGGTCCAGCTACGTCTACCGGTTGAACATGTCAGAACGATGTACTCGGGCATGACGTCGTCCAGTTTCTCGCGATATTACACAGGTCAGGCAATCTTTGTGGTAGTGGATGTGGCCAGCGTTCACATGCTGTCTGCTGTCTCCACTGTTCTGCGCTCAATGCTCGTAGTTGTGGTAGTTCACGTGGGTGCACAATGGCATTCACAAGTCTTTGCGACCACACCGAAGACGGAGGTAGTGATTGCTCCATCTAATCCTTCTGATCCGACAACCCGATCCCATGTAGCCCGCCCAGGTAGTAGACGCTGGTTCTCAAGGATGTTACACCAGACTGCTCTGATCCCATCTCAGCTTGGTCAAACTTCATCACTTGCGTACCCATCTCCTCCTGGAGCCGCGTCCACATAGTCGTGCTACACGTTGGCGCCCGCTTTGGTTGTTC